ATTTAGGTTGAATATGAATATTCTAAAAGTTAGTGGTTCATAAATGAACCTCTGGGCCATTGGTCAATTTAAACTTGCGAGCCCAAGTATTAGACTCCATGATACTGGTTAATTCCAACTCGATGGACCAGGGCTGAATTCGGATCCCAATCCGATCCACTTTCATGCCGACCAGATCCTCGTTCCGGTCCGGTCCGGACCGCTTAAACCCTAAACCCTCTCATTTTCCCTTTCTGAGAAATCGTTCTCCTTCCAGTCGTTCTCCAATGGCTTCCGCTTGCAACAGATTCATTCCCAGATCATTATATTCGGTTAAATCTGCCATCAGAAATGGTCTGAGATCGTCCCTCACTAGATCGTCAGCCGCTTCATCGGCCACCGGACTCCCTCTTCCGTCCAGAACCACCGCCTCTTCTCTTCGCCGTTTCTCCTCCTCTAGGTCTATCCATCCCTTCCTAATGTACCATCTGGGTTCTTTTTACTATAAATTATTCTCTAAATTTTTGTTTTTTAATTTTTGCTTTTTACTGGCAGATCTCCGGCGGAGTTGGGATGCGTGCAGTCGCTGCTGCCGCTGCACAGCGCGGTGGCGTCGGCGAGAATGACCTCCTGCCTCTGCACAACAGCGAGGAGTTGCCGAGCTCTTTCTCAGGGTACACTCCGCTGCTCTAGTGATCTCTTTTTATCTGCTTTTGAGTTAGTAGCTAATTTTTCTTTTAGCCCCATTCTACTGCCTATATGTGTTACTATGTGTTTCTTGTTTTATGTGTGCCTCTTCGTTCCACCCCAAATATATAAATTTGTTCTTCCATAAATTTGCTTGAGGTTAAAGATATCAACTTTATTTTTATGGTGTTACCAATGAAAGATTTATTTCTAGGTAACCTAGATAATAGGAATGAAGTGTTAAGGACTTACAGCGTCACGTTGGTGAGGTTGAATTCTGCGAGTAGGACAGACCGGGGTTGTAGAAAGGAGAGTGAAAAGTGCTTTGATTGGGTGTTATAACACTCTCTGACTGGAAATATTTGGTTCCTGCAGGCACATAAGTTGAAGCAAATAAAGTGATACAGCCCCATCACCATTCACAAGTATGAAACTACATTAGTTCTCACTTGGTCATCTTAGAAGTGTGTTGCTTTCTTAAAATTCATGGATTGTTTGGTAGCTGGTAGTTGATTTTGATTGTCTTATCAAAGTAAAAAGTGTAAGACCATTTGTTGACACCCATATGGATTCAGTTAGAGAATACTAAGTGGCAGGAAGTAAGATTAGGAACTGACAGCTAGGCAGTTGACGCGTAAATTTGTAAATCTTGACATAATTTTGCAAGCCTACATTTTCTAGGCAAGTCAAATTTTTGTGCCATGAAGCAGACTTCCTAAGCGTTAGATATTATCTGGAGATATAGCATAAATTAGAATCTAAGTTTCAATGACTGTTATTCCTTCCCTTTCTTGTAATCTGACTGTAATGGTTCTGTTCCATTGTCTGACATCAATTATTTCCTTTAGGTTTTGTGAATAAAGCTTATGGGCTTTTCCAAAATGCAAAAATGGATTATTTCATTGCTTCACAGGAGCAATTTAGTTAACTTATTTATCAAAGTCTGATAGGATGTTTAGGAAAAGTTTCCAATTTCAAATTTATTAAAGACTCAAGGATGTCCTAACATTTATATGCCAGTGGTACGGTTTAAGGCTTCTACAACCAAATAATGCTTTGGAATACAAATTGTTTGTTTGAGTGGAATTTATTGCACATAGAGTGGTTCATTAACAAGCATGAAGAATGGTAAGATAACTTATAACTGCTGCTTTTCCCAGATGGAACTGATGGTACGTGAAAAATGGGGCTGTTTTAGAAGGTGGGTCCTATCACCTATGCTTCATAGCCTGGCTTAATGTGGGATACTCCCTTTGATAGAATTAGTGCACCTACCTGTCATAATTACATTACATGTTGGAAGTTTCTGCATTCTTTTGGAAGGTCTAAGCTTTTCGAATCATTTGTCAAATATAGTGTAATTTTATCATACTTGTAGACAAGGGGATTTGGATGTTATCTTTTTTTTTTATAATTAATTTAGCTTGATGTGTTGGTATATCTATTTTCCTTGAAGACTTTGAATTATTGCTTCCCTGCATGTTTCTGACAACCGACTCTTTGCAATGTTGTTGCTTCAGTATTTGGTCTATCGGTTCCAAGGTGACCTGATAGCTGACCGTGGTTATGGTGAGGAGTACTCAAGCTGACATATATGGGAAGAATTTGTAGATTTCTATTTCAAACCCTTAAATCATTGAAACTGATTTCCATTTGTACAAGTTGTTTGTTCCTGTGAAATAAGTCAATTGAAACAGTTTATGTATTGATTAAGCGGGCCAAATGGGCTGCATTTTGCTAATACTATCTCGACTTGATTTACCCATGGTATCAACTATTTTCTATCAAGGCATTGTTGCCCATCACAAAAAATGTTGTTCCTTCCATAATTGGCAGTTCATCACCGCAGAAGCTATCCAAAACCAATGTAACTACAAATATTGGCCCTTCCCTTCCTTATACAATCTCCACCCATCCCATGATTCAAATTTAAAATCTCTAATATGGAGATTTAAGTTATTAACTAATGAAATGTCCCTAAAGGACTTTAGAGGACTATATGGATGTATTTGACATGGCATTTTCAACTTCAATCCAACTACAACCAGTTTCTTTTCTTACACCTTTATCTCTCATGAACTTTCTCAGCAAACTCATCTCTCTCCATTTGCCATGATATGCAAACATGTTAGACATCATGACGTAAACGTAATCATCCGCACCCTCCAATTCAATTACTTTTGCAGCAGCAATCTTTGCAACCATTGTATCCTTGCACGCTCCACTAGCTCCAAGCAAAGCTTTCCAAACAACTCCAAAGGAGCCAAATCCAAGTTCAGAGATCATCTTCTCCGCTCTCCAAACCTCCCCTCTCTGTCCCATTAGCCTGATCATGGAACAACAATGCTCAATGGTAGGTTCAATCCCATAGCCCTTGATCATTGATTCTAAGTACTGAATTGCCTTCTGCAGTGGGATCTCATTATGCGAACATGCAGCTAATACATTAAGAAATGTGATAGAGTCAGGTTTCAAATCCTTTACCATTTTCAGCTGCTCAAAATATTCAATCACCTTCATTAAGTCACCACTATGAGCATAGCCAGAGATCATAGCATTCCAGGTTATCAGATTCTTTTTAGGTAGAGACCAGAAAATTGATTCAGCATTATTGATTTGCCCACACTTTGAGTACATATCAATTAGAGCACTTCCCACAACAACACATGTATCCAGACCGTGTTTTACCGTGCAACAATGGATCAACATTCCCCATGTTAGAGCTGCCAAACCAGCAATACCGCTCAGAATTATCGAAAACGTGAACTCATCCATTTCAATGTCACTAGAGTGCATTTTACTGAAGAACTCAAGAGCTTCACGTGCACGATTTCTATTGACATATCCTGTCACTATTGAAGTCCAAGAAGATGAATTCGGGTTTGGCATGTTAGATAAAACCCCAACAGCGTCTTCTATGTTGCCAAACTGAGCAATGCCACTAATCAATTCATTATATGTTATTGTATCGCGCTCTGGTGCTTGGTTCCAAAAGCTCAATGCTTGTTCAAGCTCTCCATTTCTAGCACACGCAGCTATGACAGAGTTCCAGGAAACGATGTCCTTGTCAATCATACCATCAAAAACCCGAATGGCATCTTCCACTGAATCACATTTTCCATACATATCAATCAAACAATTTGCAACAACATTCCCACATTCCAATCCATATTTCACAATCTTGGAGTGAATTGATTTCCCTAGCTGCAACAGGTTCACCTGACCACTAGCAACTAAGGCAGCTGTGAAGGAATACGCATCGCCACAAATTCCAGACCTTTCAAGCTCAAGAAACAACCCCAACGTCCTACGAAACTCCCCAGACTTCACATACCCAGACATCAAAGAGTTCCAAGAAACCACATTTGGTTGAAGAATTTCAACAAACGCCTTATGTGCATCACTCAACGAATCCATTCTCTTATAATAAAACCTCATCAGAGCATTGGAAACAAAAGTATTAGAGACAAACCCAGATTTCAGAACGTAGCCATGGAGCTGTTGACAATAAGAAGCATAACCCAGGTCCGCGGAGACCCGAACCAAATGAACCAAGTCAAAACCATCTGGTTTTACGCCAGAGTTTAGAAATTCTGAGGCCTCACGCAGAGCAACAATGGCATCAGCTCCGCCTTGGGCAAGACACGAAATGAGAGCAGTCCACTGGTTCGCCGGGAACTTTTGGACTGTGTAGAACATCTTTCTACCATACCCCAAAAGAAAAATATGTAAACTTGTAACGAATAATATTTATATAAAAAATAGCAGAACAAGAGAAAACGTTGAGTAACTCACGAAGCACACTCTTCAAAAAAAAAAAGAGGCAAAAGGGCAAAAAAAAAAAAAATTCTTCAAATTACTCACCTACTTCAACAGAATCTTTTTTAGTACACAGATATTAAATATTGAAATTAAAATTTATGATTAAAAATAAAA